CGACACACTCGATGGGTCGCATTCGACAGAATATTTTCGTGACAGTATTAAAGAATTGTAAAAGACTCGGATCAGAGGATCGGCGCGAATAAAGATAATTATCGGGGAGCATCTCACTAGTACGCTTTATGCTTGCCTCTCCACGCCTCTTCCGCGACAGGAGTCTCTCTCTCTTCCACACTAAAAAATCTCCTACACATCTTAAAAAATATTAGTTTGGTTGCGGTCAAGCTGTCGCTACAAATGCTTCGAAGTGTTTCTCTTCCCCTTCTATCTTTTCTGAAAGAAAGGGGAAGCAGAATAGAAAGATTTATGAAAATAAAAGATAATTGATTTGTACATCTTTTGTATCAAATGTCCCTCACTCCCTCCCCCTGCTTTTTCATTAAAGGCCCTCCATATAGCCGCTAGTTCCGGGTCACAAAAATCTTATTTTGGCTATGGGTATATTCAACATGATACCAATATCCACAATCCGAAATGAACGCTCACCCCTTACGTTTCTGACCTTCTACAACTAATATTTGGAAACACTCCTTCACATACCTCTGCCCGTCTGTTTGTACCATCTATATTCAGTATGTGAGTCTCCACATTAGAAGACGGTCATCATGGTAGATCGCGAAAAAGCTAAGTGGCTCTTGCAACAGTGTGTTCCCGTATTCAAGTGTAAACCGTGTTCTATTAAAGTCGTAAACGATACATATGTTATAACAGAAACGTCTACAGAAACGTTAACAAAATTACAACAGCACTTATCTCGAAAACATACAACGCAATATACTGACGTACAATCTAATATAACTGAATGTCTGCAACATTATACTTTTGAATTACTGTGTCAAGACTGTTCTATGCGGATTCCCGAATTTAGATATGAAACGTTCGAAGACCTATTAGCAGTGATAGAAAAGCACTTACGTGATATACATACAAAAACATATGAATCTGTAGATATCAACGTTATCAGTATAAACGCTCCATATTGTTCCAATATACGAGAACGTTATGTATATCTGAAAGGAAGTACATTTAAATGCACTCTTTGTTTCCAAGCTGTTCAGAAAGAAGTTGCACAAAGTAGTTGGTATCCTGGCGGGAATCTAACTCAGCACTTACTAAATGAACATGGGGACGAAAGCTCGAACACAGAAGCGTATACATCGAAATATCATTGGTTTTGGGATCATGCCGGTATAGATATTGCCACAGACGGATCATGGACTCCGAAATGCCTTATCTGTGAGGACTGTAAACGATTTACAAAATGTAAGGAATTTAAAAAATGTAAGAAATTTAAAACCGTCTGTGACAAACTGCGGAATCACATGACAAACAAACACAAGTAAGTACAAGGTAAAAAAGGTATTATGCATAAACATAAATAAATATCTAATATTATAGAAGAATAGGTATCAAATATGTCCGTACAATTTTTACATTCTATACTGCAAAATTTAAGCATGTAATAATTATAATTGTAATACCATACAACGAAAAACTTAACAAGGTCTTGACCTGTTTTCTCAAAATAACCGTTGAGAAAGTCTAGCAGTGTTTTCATACTAACATTATTTATAAAACAGCTTATGTTTTATATCTAATATATTGATTTTAACGTTTCTAATACTAATCACAATCTCTTTAACGTATTTTACAAATATTTACAATTGACATTTAGTACATGTATAATGCAATTCTTACGAGTATATACATAGGTTTAATTACTGAAATCTATACAGTAAAATCTCAATTATCCGAATTAATTATGACTAGGTATGTACCATATGTAACAAAACAATCGAACTTTTACATATTAGAAATAGTAATTACAACAAAGAACTTTACCGAAAACATAGAGTGTCACACAAACCAACTAACATAATTAAATTATTAACTTTATATTTTATAACATCTTAACTTATCAAACCAACGTCCAGATAATCGAAATCGGTATAGTTTAAATTTAAGTAACCAAAATCTGGATAATTGAGTTTCTACTACATCCATCGACTTCAGTTTACCAGTACTACCCATACAGCACAAACCTTGCAGTTACATTGCAGCTACATTACAGCAATGTTGTAATATTGTAGCAATGTTATTGCAATGTAACTGCAAGTTTTGTGCTGTACGGTATGTTCACGATGCTACCGGTACGTGTTAGTCCAAATAATTATTGTAGTAATTATAGAAAATCGTTAAATCCAAACTATCAAACAAAAATTTATGTAATATGTGAGTTTAGACAATTTTAATCTTCTTATCGTTCAAATAAAAACAGTTAATCGTTTCTGCACTATAAGCGGTAGTTTGTTGGTCTTTAACGGAGTATTTCTATATCGTCTCCGCTTCTTAATCATATAACTTATCAATGCAGGAGGAAGCTTCCAATTATGATTGCAAACAATGATTTAGATGAAATGAGTATCGAGTCATATATCAACTTACGTCATCCACCTGCAGGAATAACAGTTCAGGAAAACCAACCTATGGATCTATCTGTAAAAAGAGCTAAACTTCAATCGGATGTTTCTGACAAGTAATTATTCACTTTGCATTTCTTACACAGTGCATGTACATAAATTTTTCACGTAAATATTTCCTCTATTTCATTATATACAAATGTAATATATATATATATATCATCGCATTCATCTATTAAGTGTTTAATTAACTTCAGTGAATATTTCATTAATACCAACGTATATTAATCGTGTCGTTAGTTCTTCTTCTACTACATTTAAAAATATAATACAAAAAATTTAACACATAATATTTATAAGACTCTGACGTGTAATCACAAATACGAAGTAATAAAAAAGTAATAAGAGCCAATACAGGACGTTAGTGTGTATATAATTTTAATTTCTTAATTTATCAAAAAATTTACCTCAGCCAGGCTTTGAACCTGGACCAGGACCTTCCTCTCACTAGGCGGGCGTCTCACTCATTCGACCGCCGAGGCATATGGTAGTACAAGTATTTAGAGCACTTTTTTGTTCACTTATGGTTGATGATAAAAGCATTTCTTCCTTTTCATTAATTAATATTCTGTGTGGTGGAAAGGTAGGCAATAAGGAGAATTCGATGTTATATGACTGACAATTACGTCGGCGCGCAGTTCTATTTCGAATTTAGTCACAACATGAAACTTTCGGGAAATAATTGTTTATTGCGATAAATATTGCCACATGCCTTGATGTTCGACTTGGTAAAACGCCCACCTAGTGAGAGGGAGGTCCACATTCGAATCCTGGCCATAGATAAACTTTTCGCAATAATTTTAAAAATCAAAACCATTGAAACACTAACATCCTGTTTTTACAATAAATGTAGCAATGAATTTTATTCTTATGTATGCAATGACAAATAAATCGCAAACGCAAATAAATTAAATTTTAGTAGTCCAAAAACTATAAACATTTAAATCCATTATTAACTGCATCTTTAAATCTATCAGAAACACATCCTGTTTTATAATTGGATAATACATTTGTAATATTAAACGCTAAATGGTCTATTACGTTTCACAATTTTTATTTATATATGGAATACAGACTTGTAGCAGACTCATCGAGGGATAAACCTATACATAATGTTTCGAAACGTGCACGTCTGGCAGACCAATGTGGGGACAGATCTGTACACAGCGCTTTGCAACACGACCCCATAACAGACGTGTGGTGGGATAGACCTGTACACAGCGCTTCGCAACACGGCCCCATAGCAGACGAAGGGTTGGATAAACCTGTACACAGCGCTTCGCAATACGGTCTTACAGCAGAACCATGTAGGGATAGATCTATACACAGTGCTTCCCAACATCGGCCCACATCAGAACAATACTGGGATAGACCGGTACACTACGCTTCCCAACACGTGCGCACAGCACACTTATCGAATAATGATATTCTAACTTCTAAGGATACTTGACGAGATACTTTACCATTTTTTAACGCAGCATTAAAAATAGTAAATATTTTGCAGGAAAGGTTATATAAATTGATTTATTGAATATCTATTGTATTGACAATTTGTAAACCAACCTAATATTGCGTAACATTATATAAGATATTATAGTACCGCTTCCATCGTCGTAACTGCGAATATTGTGTATTAACAAATTTACTAAATTAGATATTGCAGTGATGTTTTTATTAGGAAAGTGCAATATGATGAGTACACAACTTTAAAGACATGACACATGTACACTTAAAATGATAATCAAACATAAACATAAGTTTAAATAAGATGAGATATGAATAAGTAAAATCGGGAACCAGATACATTTCCTAGTTTTGAACATACTGTACGTAATTATGGGTTTGAAGTATTAACAGCAAATTTTCTTGAAGAATCGGCTTTGCCATGAAAGTAAGACTAAACTATTGCAAAAAGTGTCTAGTACCTACATGGATGAGGAATCACGCAACTCAAACAAACTGGACTCAACCACTACTTTCCTTGTGCGCAGCTATATGTGTCTGAAAGTGTATATATGACTTGAATTAGGCTAGGGTTGAGTCAAATTCGTTTGATTATACATGTACGTAAAACTATTTCGTAGTAGTACAATACATTGTATTATTTTGCATTGGAAAATAATTGAACTATAATCTTCCCAACATTGGTACAATATTGTGAAAACGGCGGCTCATTTTATTTAGCTAATATGCTTATTTTGTAATACTAGTTTAATATTGTATCAATATGAGATCAATATTTAATCAATATTAGACCAATATTCATATTAAATTGCTAAATGTTGTCTAATGTATTTTCAATATTAATTTAATATTATATACTTATAATCGCGGAATATTTGCATTTATTACGTTATCAATATTCCCTTTGAGAAATATTAGGCAATGCATTTCCAGTAGAACCAATATTGGATCACTATTAGCCAATGTTTAGCCAGTGTATTGTACCACATATTTCAATGACAATGTTTCACTAGAACATAATGGAATGCTTAAACTTTTCCTCATTCTATAAACATCTTATGCGACTTCTGAAACATTACATAAGCTATTATACATATTAGAGCTTGCGTAAATGTACTTATTCGAATAATTTATATTAGAAAATTTGTTAATCTAAATGTTACGTTTATATTTATTTGACAAGTGATATATGATGAGCAAAAAATTCAAGGGCTATTACAATGTTTACGAAAATACATTTTACTATTTTAAAAAAAATATGTTGCTTAGAAATGTAAGATCAAAATAATATTAGAGATAAGTAAAATCACTGAAACGAGGGCAGACACTGTGTCATTTTATTGAACGTATTAATTCTTTAATTAATTAGTTTCATTATATCTATTCATGTCTTGATGTTCTCTGTGATTTTATTTACATATTATTTATTTTGATTTTTACCTTCATTATCATATGTTACGCGTAAGCATGCAACCAAGACATTTGTCTATGTATGTATTTGTTGACTTGTAAAATAAATAAAATAATGAATATAAATTAAAAATAAAGAAAATAATATAGAATAAAATAAAACAATAATTTACATATATTACTTTTATACATTTTTAAAAACTTTTGATCATACACAGTTCAGCAATTCTACGAGTTCACGTATTACCGCCTTTGTCATTTTAGAATCTAATGTTATGGGGACAAACTGATAATTTTATTAAACGCGTCTATTTCTGAAAAGTCACATTTAGATTGGCTCTTTTAGATCACAGAAACCGCGGATGCAAAAACTGACGCGGGAGGCGACGCTGAGGCCGAGATCAAACTCGCCGCGGATTCACAAAGCGCCAGCGAAGCCGATTCGAAAAGCAAGCTTTGTGTCTCGAGTCAGTGTTTCGTAAGGTATAAATAAATCTCCGACAAATATTCGTAAGGAGTTTTATTAGACACTACTGTGAGCCTTTGAAAAAATACTTGAAATTCCAGGCTTTATTAATTTTAATAATATAAAGTGGACGCTCGTTGAATGTATAAACAAATGATCAAATTATAAATGCCAAAAATAACGAGCTATTATAAAGGATGTTAGATCAATTATATTCTTGATAGTTTACATAGGGGTGAACGTTTCTACTTTACTTAGTCTCTTTCAACACCCTAATTCATTAATGAAGATACATTAAATTTTTAAGGTACGTGACTGGTCATTTTAATTATTATTTAATGTCGTTAGAATACGTTAAAAATTAAAATTATATGTATACATATAAATGTCAACATCACAAACAAAGAGAAAACCGATTTTTACTAGACACACATACCTATCTTTCGTCAACCAACTCATCGTTATCACACAATCTAAGAACGGACAGAGGCCAGTGGCAATAGTTTGACAAAATCAGTTAAAGATATTTTTTCTTTTTCTTTAGGAGATATATTTCTTTGGTTCCAGTCAAAGATATGTTCTTCCATAAGTCCATATTTGGTCAAAATTCTTTTGTGGTTTATTGTTAGGGATCGCCACAAGTACGTTCGTCCAACTAATTGTCCGAAAGGTCTCCGTTCACATTGGCTTGTTAAGAGTGACTAGTGTTTATTAATTTTATAGAGATTCAATGTTCATACAAATTTTATTAATTGTTATATACATACAAAATGAATAAAAGTGTCGCAATAGATGTAAAAGATACCAGGTCTAGTTTTCTATTTGTTTCTTTTGACAAAATGGAAGTCGTCCGTGTACACGGCAAACATTAAACATTGTACTAGTTGAACGACATATCAGTTACAGACTAGTACATCATTAAAATATTACGTATACCTTTGTGTTTTTAGGAAAGTTATAATATTGATGTTATATAACTATTAATTCGTGGTTACTAGATATATACCAGGCTTGTGAAATATTGTAAATAAGTACAAAATTAAAGAAAAATCAAAAAGATATGATAAATGTAAATGTACTACATTTTTATTATTTTATTATTCCGACATACAACTAGCACGCGCTTCGATTGCTATCTATCCATCGGAAACGTTAGATAAGTCAACCTACTATTATGATCGAATACATTAAATACACTCCTCTGTTCTTAGATGAAACGCATATTAAAAGACATCTTAAAGTTGCATACATTATTTTTCTCAGCTTACCTTAATTGTAAAGTGATATTAACTTTTCCTATACGTACAGTCACCTTTGTCTTTTTAATTATCGCCTGAAAACATTGCGCATGTTTTAATATAACGGTTCAGAAAGTAAGTATGTTACTAATGTAGTGGTGGTTGGTAACGTAACAAGACATATTCATGCCAGGATTAAGGGGAAGGCAAAGGGGGGCTACAGTCCGTGCCTCGCTTATTAGCAATCTCACCCGACATAATTTCGTAAGTACTATGGTTTAGACTTCATTTCGACTTAGACGAATTCGTTTAAAACTTAAATAAAATCTTACCTAAATACAAAATTTCAATTAACGATTATTAGAAGCATTTGGGATCTTAAAAAATATTAGTTCGGTTGCGGTCAAGCTGCCGCTACGAATGCTTCGAAGTGTTTCTCTTCACCTTCTATCTTTTCTGAAAGAAAGGGGAAGTAGAATAGAAAGATTTATGAAAATAAAAGATAATTGATTTGTACGTCTTTTGTATCAAATATCCCTCACCCCCTCCCCCTGTTTTTTCATTAAAGGCCCTCCATATAGCCGCTAGTTCCGGGCCACAAAAATCTTATTTTGGCCCTAGTATATATTCAACCTGATACCAATATCCACAATCCGAAAGAACGCTCACCCCTTACGTTTCTGACCTTCTACGACTAATATTTGGAAACGCTTCTTCACATACCTCTGCCCGTCCGTTTGTACCATCTGTATTCAGTATGTGAGTCTCCGCATTAGAAGACGATCATCATGGTAGATCGCGAAAAAGCTAAGTGGCTCTTGCAACATTGTGTTCCCGTATTCAAGTGTAAACCGTGTTCTATTAAAGTCGTAAACAATACATATGTTATAACAGAAACGTCTACAGAAACGTTAACAAAATTACAACAGCACTTATCTCGAGAACATACAACGCAATATACTAACGTACAATCTAATATAACTGAATGTCTGCAACATTATTATTTTGCATTATTGTGTCAAGACTGTGATTTATGGATTCCCGGAATTAGATATAAAAAGTTCGAAGACCTATTAGCAGTGATAGAAATGCACTTACGTTGGGTACATGAAAAAACATATGAATCTGTACATATGAACGTAAATAATATTATAGACGCTCCATATTGTTCCAATATACGAGAACGTTATGTATATCTGAAAGGAAGTACATTTAAATGTACTCTATGTTTCCAAGCTGTTCGGAAAGAAGTTCGACGAAGTTCTTGGCATCCTGGAGGGAATCTCATTCAGCATTTAACAGAAAAACATAGGGATGAAAGCTCGAACATGGACGTGTATACATCGAAATATCATTGGTTTTGGGATTATATCGGTATACATATTGCCACAGACGGGACACCGACTCCGAAATGCCTTATCGATAAGAACTGTAATCCATTTACAAGGGTGAAGATAAATTCAAATACCTATCACGTAATACTGCGTCACATGACAAAGAAACACGAGTAAGTACAAGGTAAAAAATGTATTAGGCACAAACATAAATAAATATCTAGTATTATAGAAGAATAGGTATCAAATATGTCCGTACAATTTTTACATTGTATACTGCAAAATTTAAGCATGTTACGATTATAATTGTAATATTATACAACGAAAAACTTAACAAGGTCGTGACATGTTTTCTCAAAATAACCGTTGAAAAAGTCTAGAAGTGTTTTCATGCTAACATGATTTATAAAACAGCTTATGTTTTATATCTAATATATTGGTTTTAACGTTTCTAATATTAATCACAATCTCTTTAACGTACATTACAAATATTTACAATTGACATTTAGTACATGCATAATGCAATTCTTACGAGTATATACATAGGTTTAATTACTGAAATCTATACAGTAAAATCTCAATTATCCGAATTAATCGTGACTAGGTGTAATCCATGTCCGTATCATAACTTCGGATAATCCATGGCATGTACCATATGTAACAAAATAATGGAACTTTTTGCTTATTATAAATATGTAGTAATAACAACAAAAAACTTTATCGAAAACATAAAATATCACACAAACCAACTAACACAATTAAATTATTAATTTTATAATTTTATAACTTATCAACCCAACGTCTGGATAATCGAAATCGGTATAGTTTAAATTTAAGTAACCAAAATCTGGATAATTTAGTTTCTATTACATCCGTCGACTTTAGTTTACCAGTACTATGTTCACGATGGTACCGGTACGTGTTAGTCCAAATAATTGTTGTAGTAATTATAGAAAAACGTTTACACCCAAATTATCGAACAAAAATTTATGTAATATGTGAGTTTAGACACTTGTAATCTTCTTATCGTTCAAATAAAAACAGTTAACCGTTTCTGTACTATATAAACGGTAGTTTGTTGGTTTTTAACGGAGAATTTCTATATCGTCCTCGCTCTTTAATCAAATAACTTACCAATCATATACTTACCAATGCAGGAAGAAGCCTCCAATTATGACTGCAAAAAATGATTTAGATGAAATGAGTATCGAGTCATATATCAACTTATGGCATCCACCTGCAAGAATAACAGTTAAAGAAAACCACACTATGGATCCATCTGCAAAAAGAGCTAAACTTCAATCGGGTGTTTCTGACGAGTAATTATTCACTTTGCATTTCTTACACAGTGCATGTACATAAATTTTTCACGTAAATATTTCCTCTATTTCATTATACACAAATGTAATATATATCTCATCGCATTCATCTATGTATTAAGTGTTTAATTAACTTCAGTGAATATTTCATTAATACCAACGTATATTAATCGTGTCGTTAGTTCTTCTTCTACTACATTTAAAAATATAAAACTTTTAATTTAACACAAAAAATTTATAAGACTCTGACGTGTAATCACAAATACGAAATAATAAAAAAGTAATAAGAGCCAATGCAGGATGTTTAGTGTTTAAATAATTTTAATTATTTAATTTATCGAAAAACTTACCTCAGCCAGGCTTTGAACCTGGACCAGGACCTCCCTCTCACTAGGCGGGCGTC